ATCATCTTTGGTCCCAGGATCGTTGGATGATCATTAGATTAACTCAATAATGGATCTTGAATCAAATTATGGCTATCGCATTGCATTATTTGATTACATTTAGTTTTTGGATTCGCTAATGTAATATCCTTAAATTGACTTGGCACCAATATTCATAATATTGACCTTATTAAAAATAAGACATTACTTTGATTAAAATATAAAAATATTTAATTTACACATGTAAGAGAGCACAATCTGATTATAACTAATGTCATTACATCAACCAATCTATTACGTGCTGTGTTATTTCACCTGTTTTAAAAACCACAACCGTAAATGTATGATGCTACTGTATACCATTTTCAATATTTTGCAAAAGCTACAACTCCTTTTTTTTTTTTTTTTAAATCTTGTTTGCACCTAAGGATAGCTCATCAAGCAGTTGGTAACTGCTGTATGTAGATGCAAATGCAAAATGCAGTTAAACTACAACAGGACTATAACAGTCATTTGACTAAGCTGTATACAGGTCTACATAAAGGCCAGAATACTCCTTGTCTTTATTCAATTATTGTTTATTTCGAGTATGAAGTAGTATTCTGGTTAAGGTGACAAGAAAATACTGTTAACATGGCAGCGTCGCATTCAGACTGTTGGCTTAATCAAGTTAAAATCGGAATATTGGTGACCATGTAAACATGTCACTGTCAATAACAGGCAATTTGTGATCACACCTGGTTATTTATAGTAACTGGAAACTGCACATCTGATACACTATTGTCGACATAATTAAATGTACCTGAATAACTTTCAATGGCAATTTAATCTGCATGTAGAATCTACCAGTAACCACAACAGTTACCACAGGGGAGCTGGGGAGGAGTAGAATATTAATCTGGCAGCTTCTTTGAGAGAGAATGAAGAATATGTACAGTATCTACCCTAAAACATTGAACTATGAGTAATGGCACAAAACCACTATGCAGGTAAAGTAATCCATTACTTGTTTCTTTCTACCTTTTTAATCAAAGGATGTTTCACTGCAAAAAAAAACTGTGTTCCACTGATTCAGCTGTCAAATGAGCTCTGTGTCTCCAACAGCATCAGTGATCGCAGCAGGAGGAAATCCCTTGACACACTTCAAAAAGCCGACCTAGAAAGGAGACTAGGCTACCATGCTTCTGCACGTGCTTTTGTTGTACTAACATGCGGTGAAGATGGGTGCTTATTTAATCAACGCATCAAGAAAAACAGACATTTTCATCATCTTTCTAGTGATTCAGACGTTCTGACAATCAGCATCCGGCTCCTGTCCACAGCCAGCATGAAACACAGAGCCACGGCGAGCTGAAAGAGGCTATTGTGTGAAATCTGAGCCATCCTCCTCTGCTGCCTCTCTTTCACGCTCCGACTACAGATGCCCTCTGATTCTGCTAGAAGAGGACAGAGACAGTGGGTTCCCCACGTTCGCCCGCTTGTCCTCACAGTGTTTAAGTGCTCACTCACCATGAACGCTGCGGTTCCTTACAGGCGGCCAGTCCTCCGGTGGGGGTTTGATTCCAAAAACCCTAGCCTAGCGTCATTGCTGCCCCCTGAGGGCTCACTCCTGGCAACCGGACACCCAGGAGGTGCAAAAGGAGGCCAGAGGGACAGTCAAGCTGCCGACAGAGGGACACACCCCGCATTGGAAAGGATGTGGTAGCAGCATAACACCCCTCTTCTCTCTCTCCCTACTCACCCCTCTCCCTCTGAGCTGTGACGCTACACTGACCGGCTCTGCATCAGGTCTGTCAATGCTGCTGCTGCTGTGTGTCAGTAAATCAGCACTGCCGTGTGTTATTAGTAACGGTCTCTCTGCTGAAGGTGCTCTGCGCTCTGCTGCACCCAGGCATCCTAATCAACCCCAGAGTAACAGATCAGGTTTCAGCCACTCAGCTCACTGCTTTCCTTATCCAGTCAGGACCCATCGAGCAGCTTTAGTGCCAAAACATGTGAATCTACCAGCTGTGCCTCGAGATTTGTTTCCCTTGTTCCCCGCTCACCAACTTCTGACTACTACTGACTACTGCTTTTTCAGAATACTATATTTATTGTTGGCTATTGGGATGTGACGGATAAAATTTAAACTGATCTTCTCTGTATATAAATGCAATGCTTGCCCAACAGCACTCTCACTGAAGATGAACTGTTTTCACAAGATGTTTTTTAAATATTCAGTATTCTGGGAAAGAGAGAAACTTTGTAGAACATTTGTTTGCTTAGTAGGATGTTGCGACATGCAAGAATTTCTAAATCTGGTTTGACACAGTAACAACCACACCTGATCCAAGTTGCCCAGAAGATATTTAACCTTGATCTAAAATGCCAAAATAACCTGAACAGAGAGGTGTGTTGATTGTTGTGTACCACTTGTTCAGATACAACAATTCGTCATATTAACGCACAGACCTGTGACAGTAAAACAAGAGTTGACCTGATTAGATCGAGCAGAATTTAAAGCAGAGTAAAGTCTCAGGTCTGAGGATTGCAGCCAGAAAAAAAACTCTAATATAAAGGATTTCTTATGCGTTGACCCCAAATCACTAAATCTACGCTAAGGAGCACTGAAGCTGTTCTGGGTGACCTTACATAGACACATAATGTTGGTGTTCCCATTTGTCACCTGTTTAACTTTAACCACCTCAGATGTGATGATGAATAAAATGCCATTTGCTCAATTTATAGTAGAAAATATTAGCAATTACCAGTTGCAGCAAATTTATATGCAACCATCTTCCTCCCGAAGACTCTCTTTTCTTAAAGTCAACACAGGATTTAAAGCTGGGGTTGTTAATCTGTGTTAATGTGACGGATACAATTTTCTGAAAAAAATCCTTACCAGCCCTCCCTTCGAATGATATTCAAATTATAACTACTGGAGAATATTGTTCAATTTCAATTCAGCCTTACTTCCAAATCGCAGTAACAGTAGTTCTTCTGCCACACAATGCGATTGAGAGGCTCAGCCTACTACAGACCAGTTTCTTTACCTTGGCAGCAATTCACTGCAGCCACACATTGCACTGAGGCCTTCATATACAGGGGAGTGCTTGAAGTCACAGATAAGTGGTTTAATTAGAATGGTAAACCTGATTCGTAAAGTTGCTCTAAAAGGAAAAAAAAAGGGGAGAAGTTGCTGGTAGAAATAGAACTATAGGTCCAGCAGTAGCTGAACGATAACCCTGGCAAATAAAGCACTACACGGACAGAGTTTAATGACCCTCCTTTGAACAGTCACTGGCAACACAAAAGCTTGAAAGCTAATCCTTGTTAACCGATTCCTGAGGTCCAATATAAGGTTACAACCACAGAGGAGATTGACTGAGGATATCAAACTCGTGGGTGTGTATAGTGTGTGTGCGCATATTCATTTGCTTAGAGAGACAACATTTAAATCCTGGATTTCCGACTTCAAACCAATACAACAAGACAGTCGACATGGATAAGCCTGTTATCAACAGAACAATTTGCATATGGATACTGGTCGGAAACCTTTCAGTTCATTAGTGATTACACAGGGGGCGTCATCAATGGGCACAGACCAAGATCCCTGTGGATGCAAGAGGACTGAAATCTAACGTGTGATGTAAACTACACTTTAACATTACAAGTGTAGTTGTTTGAGCTTCTTTTGGGTAAAACAAACGTCCAGTTATTATCATACTGTAACAATAGAAGATTCAAACTCTCCACATCAGCGGGTGCCATCTTAGTTGTTAACGAAAAACGCTTCAACAGCGCTCCTTTCTCAGATTTTGCATCAAACCCTTCTCAATTTAGATTGCAGTTACAGTTATTTAAACCACACTTGTGACAGGTTACATGGCTAATAAGTGGTGCATTAAAGCACATTACAGGAATTTCAACCCCAGTTTCAACAGCACAAAGAGAGGGCTGCTTCCCTCATGTCAGCCAAAATGACAGCGCAATAACAGGCTTCTACAGGTTCTAATTACAGACTGCCATCTTGTTCTTTGGTTTATTTTGCCTGTAGGAAACGACCATGCTTTTTAATTAGGCCAGAGACACTTTCCTGTTTGCTCTCTGTAAGGCACTGAGAACTTCTGTGTCCAGTCACTTGCTGGCTATCGAATCAAGTGCTAAGAACGACCTTGACATTTTGAATTACAGCTGCATGTTTAGAGAGAAAGGTAACAGTTAGTGTGATGTATATAAATAGTTCCAATTTTGGTTGTTGTGTGCTTGAGGATAATTATCTTATTATTTTGTTTAAAAATCTTTTTTCATTCTATCTTTTTTTATATTAATCTACACTTTCGTAGTTTTGAGAAAGCAAAACACAAATGCACTCATTACATAATCGTCATTTTTTATGTTCAGTCTGTAAGTGGAGATATGATGGGTATTTCTGCACACTGCAGTCAAACTACATAAAAGAGCAGAAGCTTAAAAGACAAGACATCTCAAAAAAGTTTCAGTATTTCTACATTCAGGTTTTACAGGTGTGGTAATCCAATACTTTCTATACATGGTTTTATTTTCCTCAGCACTGAGTGTATGAAGAATTTAAGAAATCTAATTTATGCCAACCCTCAATGTTGCGTGAGGTAAGAACCAGGCTCCCTTTGTCATGAAGACAAACTGGTGGTAGATTATGCTGGAGAAATCGGATTGAAAATGCTTAACCTGTTTTTTCTTGCATGAAACTTGGACTGGGTAAGTATTACTGACACATCAGAGAGATGTGGTCGAGTATGTTCACACTGGATTACAAAAAACAGTGGTTTGATACAGTACTTATCAATTTGGGGCGAGCTGCTTCAAAGATGCATGACATAAATACTATAACCATTAGAATTTGCTTATTTATCCTGCCCCAGGTTGAGGATTATATAATTCTCTCTATATTATTATATCCTTTTTGATATATTAATGCACTAATTTCCTCCAGTTACCACTGCCTTTGTGTCTTTGTAAACATAGTCAACAAGAAAAATAAAAGAATAAAAATCTTCTACCTTTTGTATTTTCTTAGGATCCTTGATGGGGCCTTCCCGTGGGGGGACTTTCCCGAAAAGCTTCCACCCTGGATCCCTCTGCTCCACTGGCCGACTGTCCTTAACCCTCCTGGCAAACAGGCTCCTGAGAGAGATGCAGGATGGAGAGCGGGAATTATATTATAAATATAATAATAATATTAATTATGTGTCACACTGTCAGCGTGCAACCCCAATGATAGTGGCTCCCATTCCCTATCAAACACAGTCATTCAAAGTGTGGTCAAATCTGAAATGCCTGCATGTCTATAACAAAGTTGTGTGCTTTTGTCAGTAAATGCACAATACCTTTGAACATGTTTGCTTATCTGCTCTACTACAAACACCTCAAAAGAAAACCCAGAAACCAATGAGACAGCAGCAATGCCTTTAAATTCACATCTATTTTATTTTGACTTTTTCTTTTTTACTTGAGAAAAAGGTTGAGCAGTTAATGGTAGCTGTTACGGTTATTTTTTGGTAGGTTAACCAAAGCCTCAAATCAACTAATCAGAAAACAATCGATTTATTGGAAAAATGTGGGGACTAATTGAAAAAAACAAATAGATTAATAGAAATGTATAAAAAGATATGTTGCAGCTCAAAACTAAATCATTGCACACTAATATGTAACAATTATTTTACCATATTTGCTGCTTTCATTGAAGAACTTCACTTCCACTTCAATTTATCATGACACAGAGTGCTCTGCTGGAAGAGAGCGCAATCTGTATGGATTGTTTATCTTCCATCACCTGGTGTTTAAATACCACATGCAAAGCTGCTGAAAAGCCTTCCCACCATTCAGCGTGCTATTCCTTTCATTATTCCGTCGGAGCGGTGTTATCACAGAGCTGTCTGTCTGCGGGGGCTTTAATTAAAAGCCTGAAAAAAGCCTAGCACAAAAAAAAGACATGAATGAACTGGTCCGACAAAAAGCCTCTTCTGACCGAGCAAGGTGGCATAACAGCAATCAAAGAGTCCACATGCCGCTGTTTGCCTCTGATAAATCTCATCAAGAGCAATTCACCGTGGCAACTGCCTTGTGTAATGATTGTGCGTTGACATCACTTGGACTCAACTGCGTGGACCTCAGTGATGTGGAAAGGAGGTGTAAACCCACTAAGTTGTTTCAGGTGGCTCAATCTGACCTTTGACCTGCTGACTGCAGCACAGTATGACCCGAGGGCTCTACGCTGCCTCCGGGGGAGTGATGACAGGACAGCATGCTGACAGACGCTGAGTAGCTGCAGCTACGTCCGCTGATAGCTGACCGTGTCTGCTGCTGGCTCCTGTGTTTACTGTGGACAGAGCTGTCACCAAGACACGTGGCCATCTGTGCTCGCTGATAACTCACTGAATCCTGATTGATCGTTTCTCAAATCTGCCCGAGCAACAAAACGTGGGTGTGAGCGCACAGTTTGAGGACAAGCAGAGTGCAGGCTTTTGAGCGAAAGCATTGCAAACTGGAAGACCACGCTCTTGAATAATAATATGAAAAAAAACAAGAAAAAACAAATGCTACACTGCAATTGCAGCTGAAGAAAGACTTAAGGTCATTTAGGATCATAAGAAAACAAATGGTTAGAAAACAATGAAGAATGGGTTAGTGTCTAAAATTAGTCCATGTACTTTACTCAAGTGATAATAAGATTAAAATAAGTTATACATCTGTAAAATGCACTTGTATATCACAGCTTTGCCTTTATGAGTTGTATAGTTTACAAGTGTGCAAGACAATAAAATGATACATTCATCCTTAGGCCTGCTGAAATGTGCAGCACTGCCTCCCTGATGCTTCACCTTGTAGTAAAAGAAACATGAGCCACATTAAAACAGGCTACTGGTTATATAGGAATATCAAAACACTATGTAGGCATGGTTCTGACCATGAGAAGCTGATTAAGCAATACCAGATAAAAGGTTCTTTCCAGTGTGACTGGCCAAAGATAAACACTCTTAGCAGTTATTCACAGGCTGCTACAGTATCTTAAGTAACCAACACTCTGTAGATTAAAATTTCAATTTCTCTTTTCTTGGAGAGAAAACAGAAAAGGTGCCGGAACATAAGTTGTCAGACTTATAGAGCAAGACTATGGACAGCTGTCATTTCAATATATCTGCAGTTATCAAAGTTGCTGAACAGAAAGGAAGGACACACCTGCTGACGTGAAAGAGTTAAAAAACACTGAAATCTAATCTAAAGAGAGGTGATGATACAAAGAGGACATTGACCAATAATAACCTATGTACCGACAAAAAAAGAATTCCTAACACTAAGGCTCACAGACTACATTTTATCTGAGCTATGGAAACACCTCTCAGGGCCTTCATCAGCATGTAGACACATGTTTTTGTTTTGATCAATTATCGTATGTCAGATGTTCCACATTTAGGTCACGTGATGACAAACCAGACATCGCCATTACAATAGAGCACACTCCATCTGCCAACAAAGACCAGGAGACGCAGCTGAAAGGTTGAAAAAAAAGCCTGAGCGCTGTTTGAAGATGTTTTCTGGTCAAACTACTAATTCCAATATCAATTAAGAAGTTTTAAATTCAAAATGTGAATTATTCAAGAAATGTACAACAAAGCATGTGTACAATTGTAACTTGGAAAGCAATGGATTGATTATGAACTCATATCTCAGTTCATCATACACCACAGCACAAACCTAAGGTGGAAAAAGTAAACTGCAACCAAGAATGGAGCTATGGGGAGTGTTTGAACTTTAGTAACCTCGTAAGCCACCATAAAACAATGCTGCACAGAATAAAGTGCAGAGGCCAAATGAGTTCTGCCTTTAAAAAGGAGAACCTGAAATCTTGGAATAATATATACGACCAATTTTTTTGTACAGTTAAACAAAACAATATCTGCTCTGTTTTCAGACCTGCCAACAAACAAATGTTCACAAAGCACGAGCATTATTTGCATTCTGTCCAAACCAAATGTGCTTCAACGTGACAGCTGAATAGCTGCGGGAATGGTCGGCTGCTCAAGTGGAACGGCTAGAAAAAAAAAAAAAGACTGGCAGGAGATGCTTGTTTGTAATGTTGAGTTCAAGCCAAGGCTTTGCAGTGGACTGATTTGTAGCGAAGTCTCTAAAGAATTTTGGGGGATTTCACAGCACTTATGTTCGGTCTTGAAGTGTGCAAATAAGGTGATAAGAGGTCCCAGTGGTTGGTATGGTTCACTTGACAATGAAGATGCCTCGTACACAAATACCGAGCAAGCTAGTTCAAGAAGGAAAGCAGAGTACACCGAGTTATTTTCCACACATCATAAAAGACACGAATGAACTGGAGCTGCTCCAAGCGTGTTTACAACAGTCACCCAAGTAGAAAGTAAATCCAAGGTACAGTGTGTATTTAGTCAACAAGAAACCGGCAGTCCAGCACAAAAGCCTCAGTATTCAACTGCTCGCCAAATCTCTGCCGCTTGCTTTCATACATTTTTTAAAATTAGATAGGGAAGAAACTAAAATGTGCTGTGTACAAATGTACAGGCTGAAAGAACCGCAATCAATGAACAAACTTAAATTCAGACAAAAAAGCTAAATGTGTTTCTATCCTACCTGTCGATGTAAAGAAGTGATGGGGTTGCCATCCTGCTCCTTCACCACAAAACACAATGAGCCCCAAAAAATCAAAACAACACAGAGAAAGAAGCAGCGAGTGCCTGAGCTTTGAAAGACGGAATGGGTGAACACAGGAGAGCAACACCTCCTGACTAAGTCAAAGCTCCCCCTCAGTTCAGACTCATAGCTTCCACCCAGAGTCTAACACAAGTCCCACACAGCCACCGGACTCAGGCAGACTGAGACTGTGAAGAAACTGCTGCTCAGAGTCCCCCCCCACCCCCCACCCCCTCCTGGGTGTGAGACGCAGGAATCTGAAGGGCACTCAGGGAATGAGTAACTTCTCCATGTGAGCGAGGAGAGATAACAGAGAGAGAGATAACTATACAGAATGAGAGGGAGGTGGGGAGTCAGAGGAAGCACTTCACACGTGATACATCACACTGAATCTCAAATCAATTACAGTAAACAGTAGTTTAAGTCTGCCGGAACGGCCAAGGACACTGTGAGCATAATGCAATTTAATTTAACAGTCATCACTGTTAGTGGCCACAAGGGGACTTTATACGTCCTGTCACATATCAGCATCACTAACAACCAAGACTTTCACATATCAGCATCACTAACAACCAAGACTCTTCATTATCAAACACTGATGATGGGAAGTACATTTCTGGTATTTACCAGTGTTGGGAAGGTAACGTATCAAATATTCATTACACATTACTCTCTAAAAATAAAAATAAAATGAGTCAACTAGAATGGCACTCAGTAGAGCGCATGCCATCCACGAGGCACAACAGTCGCATTCGATTAAGTCAAGCTGCACTAAATAGGTAATCTCCAAAATATGCCTGAATTGTACATGAACGTGATATTTCAAGAGTGCCTTCAAGAAATGTCTTCAAATTTATATTCACATAAATAGAACACATTGAATTTTGGTGGTCAACGGTAAAAAAAAGTCAAAATCATGTGACCGTACTGATCGTTTTTATATTTTAGAAATGCCCACAGGAAATTTCATCACATCTAGCAAAACCATTCAATGTTAATCAAAGGTCAAAGTGGCTTCACAAAGCACATTTTTTGGCTTTTGGATGCGATATCTCCGAAACGCTTTGAGGGAATTCTTTCACATTTGGCACAAACATTCACTTGAACTTCATTTTGGCAGTCAGGCCAAAGGTCAAAGGTCACGGCGGCCTCACAAAGCATGTTAATGTTCTTTAAATTCATTCAGCTTGAGGGAATGTCTTCAAATTTGGCACAAACGTTCACTTGGACTCAGAGATAAACTGTCATTAGTGTTCATCCTCTGAGCACCATGAACTCTGAACCAAATATAATTACAAACCATCCAATAGCTGTTGAGATTGTTGTGTCTGACTGGCAGCCCAACACTGCCAGCCATAAAGCCAATGCTAAAGCTGTTAATGTGGCTAAAAATTAACAGGATAATCTAACCTGTGTCTGTTATATCAATTTAAAAATCAATGCAATCATCATTTAATGTATCAGTCTTAGCCACAGCATCATTACAGGTCATTATCAAGCCCTGCCATAATTACAGTGTTATGGTTTTTTTTTTTTTTTACAACTTGCAGTTTATTACTTGTCGCTGTAATGCTACAATAACATTGTTTAATTGCAGTCATACCCAACACACACACACACATCATAAAACAACACAGCAGGTGTGAGACTCACTGCTAAGGAAAGAATTTTCAACAAGCAGCATGGTGCAAAACAGAAAATTCAATTAAATAAAAAATCCAGGACGTCAACAGAAAGTGTAGCGTGGCAAATTACTGAGAGGAAATGACGGGCCTTTCTGATTAGGTTTGTGATGGTTCCATGTGAATGAGGCGAGAGAGTGTGAAAACTACTGTCAGAGCAAAATGCATTACTACTGTATGTAAATTCATAGTGGAGGAAAGGTCTGTGGGTGAATGAAAATGCAGATGATGGATCTTGTTTGATCAGGAACAACAGGCTGAACACGTCCCTGGTCGTTTGCAACTCTTGAAGAGAATCTAAGAATGAATCCACAAGGTTACCACATCCCCAAACATACAGTCACAGGATTGGGAAGTGACACAATCAACATGGCAGCATTCTTTTCATAACCTGGGATATCGTGTGGACCCATAGGGCCACCTTTAAGGGCCAAATTGTGATGTTCTACTTTCTTTTCACAGCTAAGATAGTGCTAATCAGGAACTTTCCTTTCCTCAACAGCATAAATAACATTTGTTCCCAAGACCAGACTTTATTATTAGATGTGCCCATGTGTTGGTTTCTGTCATTAATCTCACTGTCCTTGATTTGGGACAACTTTGTACCAGAAAGCCAGTTCCCTTAGATAATAATGGGGTTGCTTTGGCGGGTCATGGAGATACAGCAGGTTGTCCACAAACCAGAGGGTCACTGGTTCGATCCCTGTATCCCTGTTACCCGACCTCGGTGAATGGCAAAACTACACTGTAATATGCAGTTTATGTCTATACTGTAAAGCACTTTGAGTGGCCATCAAGCCTTGAAAAGCTCTATTTAAATACAATATCTTAAATCATAATTGTACAACTGCTGTAACATGTTGAGCTGAGGATAAGGGCATGTTCTGGAGAAGCTGTAATAAGCAAGAGAGGAGGGAGGGGACAGGAAGTCTTGGCTAAGCGAGTTTGTATAACAACATTGAGCAATGTTTGCTTCTGTAAGCCTACTATAAGGTCTTCAGCAAAAAGCCTAATGAGAGGAAGTGGAGAACGCATAATCATCCAGCTCAGGCTGCCTACATTTGACTGTGTAGACCATAGAATTAATGACAGTGACATATTCAATAGTACGGATTGAATCAATATAAAACAAGGATGGAAATACATTTCAAAATATAGTTGGATTTTAAAGACTTATGCTGAGTCATATGTGAACTCACCTGTTGAATAAGCTTGCAAGAGGTCCCAGTTTATTTTTCCTGACATCATCTTCCTGCTGCAGGACACCTGACCCCGGGTAGGGTCGCACAGGACTCCATAAGTCTCTGGAGTCCCCTGGAGAGGACGACAGCGTGACATCTGAGAAGTGAGCGGTGCCGCTGTCGTCCGTCTCCAAGGTGACAATGGCACTGGAGTCAGACGTGACGGTGAAATCCAAGATGTCTTCGTTGGAGACCGACAGTTCGGTGCTCATGCTGGACACGCTGCACACAGAGATGTCATCGACACCCATACCCGTGGTGGTTGATAATCTGAGGGTGGGGCTGAAGAGGCGGATAGAGTCATATCCGCTGCGAGGAAAGGTGGAGGATTTGCGGATGGTGTTGTCGATAGAGTGATCATCATTCAAAGGTAAAGTGGCGGGGGAATCATGACTGGCATCCAGGATGAGGCCTGCATCGCCTGGGCGTTGGTGGCCATGAAGGATGGGCTCAGGAGGGTTTATCTCGAGAGTGGGTATACCTGAGTCCTGGGAAGTCAAACTGTGGCTGTCCTGGTCCAGGTCTGAGTAGCTTTTCTGGGGGCTGCTGTAGTAGGTGGGGGTAGAGGAGCAGGATGGCTTGTAACTGGGCAGGACGGGTATGCTGTGTGGGGTCGTGCTGGCTTCATGACAGTGATGGTTGGTGTGATCGTGGGGGTCAGGGGCAGTCTGATCTTTGACCACAGAGCCATTCTCCGCTATGGCTTCTCCAGACACACCTTCAAAAGAACATGACTGAATTAGTTTGATTTGAAAAAATGTACAGATCCAGGATGTTTCTAAATCAGGGGCCATAAAAAAGGGGCCAATTTTACTGAATAAAATGTTTTAATCCACAGTAAAACTAATACAAATGAATCTCCAACAATTGATGATTGATTTAATTGTTGTGATTTATGACCAAAAAGCAAATGTGAGGATTTGCGACTTTTCTCATCAGAATAAATTTAAAATTGTGAGATTTTTTCTAAACGAGTGATCTAAACACGTCGCCTTCGGCTCTACTGCATTGTAGCACGGATAATTACTAATCATGAAGAGCAGGCCCAGGGGATTCACCCTCTGGCAGTTTCTTTGAGTGATTGCGGATTTGTTTATTAATATTGTCTGTGCAACAGAAGCAAAATACAAAGTGACACTTGAATAATTGCATTATAATAAGGGCTCCTCTGGGTTACATTTTAGAATTAAACCCTTCGAAGTTTCCATGTATCTCGTGCTTATCTAGTGCAATAAATGCACCAATCAGATCACCACAAACTGATTATAATTAGTAAGTAATACATGGGTGGGAAAATGTGGTTAACAGAGGCCAACTCAATTCTGCTCCAGTGACACACTTAGTCTATAAACAAACCAATCATCAGTCTACAAATTGACAAAATATGATATTATTAAAAGGCTTCTGCCAATTAAACAGGGTATTTCGAGCCATATGAGTGTAGGAGCCTTGTGAGATGAAAACTAATCCCACAGTAACCAGGCTGTAACTGGAGTCTGCTGTGTAACATGAACAGGGCTCCAGCAGGGCTACATCATGCTTCAACACCAGCTGGGAAGCTAAGCTTAAGCTAGTGTGTCTATAAGCTCTCGGGCTGCATTAATTCAACTCCTGACTCTCAGGGACAGACACATTCCCACCCCATCAGTTACACACTTCATATCCATTTGGCAGAGCTCGACAACACTCAGGTTGGAGCTAGCTGTGTGTGCTGTGGAGGGGTTCTGTTTTTAGACAAAACAAGGGGGAAATAAGGGCTTTGAAAAAACACACACTATTGTTGTTGCTAAGAACTTCAGTGGAGTTTGCAGTAACAGTTTATCTAAGCTCTGCACCGGGAGGTTGTTTCAACACAGAAGCAAAAAGAAGCTGGAGAGCTACAAATCATTGGATCATGCTTTCTCCATGAGGTGTAACCGTCTCATATTCTTCATCATTTAAATTCTCTCAAAGATGATGCCGTAACCGAGAGCACAGTAGAAAAACCCTATCACAGGGTCTCGTGTATTCTTACTGGTTAACGCACAAAGCCAGATTCTTGCCCAAGCTCTAAACCCTGACCTGGAGGTGGTCATGTGAGCCTGACAGACTTTGTCCCAAAACGCAGCAACAGGTTCTTCCTGTGCCACAGGGGGAAATAACGAACAAGAGCTCACCAATGACTTACAGGCTGTTTACGTACTCATTGTTATTATAGTCACACTGTATTTATTTAAAAATGAGATACTGTACCACTCATGAAGCTTTATTCATTAAATAGTGCATGAAGTGCGTGAGGGCCACACCAAACTCAGGCATGTTTTAAGCTGCTGCTCTTATTGTCTGCTTCGTTGAGCCACCTATTTGAGTGCACACACAATGTTGGTCTGTGAATCACAACAACACGTGATGAAAGGCTTCCCAGGGAAGACACAGTACTATTCCATTTTGAAAAGTGGCCCTTCTTCAGCCAAAGATCAGACTGAATGGAGTAACATCACAGGGAACATTAAAAGAAAGAGGTTTTCAAATTTACGAGGCTGTTCTTCAGTGCAGCTGCAGTTCACACGTCTATTTTCGACACTCAGATTCACTTTCTGGCCCAACAGAGGATGCAACCTCACATTTTAACTAGTGTGTCACATGTATGTTGAAGTTTAGAGCCTGTCACAAAACATCACGGTTAAAGTGTGGAGTTAAACGTTTACATCTTCTGCTCCACTAAAAGACTGGTTTCAAATGATTCACTATCTGATCTTTTAGTGGCTGAGGTATAAGATTATCCCTCAGCCTCTGGTAAATGAAAAGTACGCCGAATTCGACACTGATAATAAATCAGTCCTAAATGCTAAGTGTTAGAGTTGATCAACAGAGAGAATTTAGAATATTTAAGGCTGAGTTTATGTTTATATATTCTTTCAATGGAGTTTGGTGCGATGTTAGCAGGAGGAGAACAGCACGTGGATCAGGATGTGAGTTTGCGTGTTTCTTGCGTGTGCTGCGTGACGAACATTCATCCGTCACACTGACTCACCGCAGCGGCTGTCCCTCAGCTCCTGGCCGGTCGTGTTCGCCATGCCGCCCGGGGCCGGGGGTGGGTAGGGGGGGGGGTGGATGCTACAGGTGGGTGGCAGGTGCACGCTCCATGGTGATGCTGTGACTACCGCTGCTGCTGCACCATCACCTCCTCCTTCTCCTTCTCCTTCTCCTCTAACGCTGCTCGGTGGACACACACAGCGTCAGTCAGCTCGATGGACGGACAGACGAACCACACACACATTCAATGGCCGGTGAACACCAACACCGCGGACAAACCGGACTCGCTCGCCGGGCGCACTGGCCGCTGACGCCCGCTTCCTCCTCACAAGGAACCAACTTAAAGTTCAAACACGACGGACATTTTCCCTCGTTCCGTCCCGCGGCACCAACACGGCAGAGGGGGTTCTTCCCTGGCGTCTATCGACTTGTGCGACCGGGCACATCTTTTCTTTTTTTTTTTTTTTACGAGTTTATCCGGTATCGTAAATATTTCATACCTGTCTCCGAGCTTCCGCCGCCATTTTAAAACAAACTTGTGAGGAGGTAGTGCAGTGCAATCGAGTGGAGAATGCTCACCGTCGATGGATTCACCTGTCTGGACCTGCAGACATTAATAATCGACCTCCTGAGTTTCTCTCCACGAACACTAAACTCTACAGATCCTCTACTTTTAGTGTCTTCTCATTATATCTATATTCGTCTATTTGATTTACTCCATTTAATTAAGCGTCTTCTTCTTTACTGAGAGTGTTGTGGTTGTTGACTTTTATCAAAATGAACGCAAATTTAATAAGCATGATGTAAGAACTTAGTTATAGATGGTGAAAATCTAAATATACAGTGCAAAACGATATAATACAATATCTACTGTTTCCCATTTCAGGCCCCAAAACATTGATTTATGCAATTTCAATATCATATGTGCAATATTACAATATTGTTACACCATATTCTGTTTACAATTTATATATTACATTCTATTTTTTCAATATTTCATGGTGTTTATATCGTATCTTCACATTTTATTACTTTTAATGCGTGTGTATTTCACTATTTCTAGTAAAATAATATCTTATTGCAGTTGGAAATATAGAATACACAGAAGGGCCAACAAAAATAAAACTATTTTTGAATTTGAAGTGTGTTTTTCAATATTTCCTGTAGTGGGACTAATAAAGGATTAAGTAAAATAGCCAACCTTGGAACATAAAGTTGACATATTGACTGAAACATGTCATCTTTTCATTTAATTCAGTCGATTTGTGCTTTTATTGTATGAATTCATGTAGTTGTAAATATATAAAATAAACAGATGGGCAACCAACATATACATAAACAAAACATGTAGAAGAAATAATACCTAATACCTTTAAATAATCACCTGATAATTACTTGTGACACAAAGTTCAAGATATTTCAAGATAAATTCTCATTCCTCATTTCTTCCAACACAAAATTAAGTAATGGTATATATATTTTTCATGGATGTAGAAGTCATCAAACAGTACATTGTGTTGCCCTTTGTATTTTGTCGTGACAATCCCCAATTAAGAATATTTCTATCCCATACATGGATATTTCTATAATAATACAAAGATAGCTTTCACTTAGACCTTATTATGAACAATAATGAAAAAACAAAATAGCATAAGACTGATATGGGCCTTGAATAGGGGAGGAGCTGTCTCTCCGACAAGGTCCTACAGCATCCTCACCCTGCCCTCTAGTGTCACCAGGTGGTTAAGGAGCTAAATGCAGTTCCTCTCAGTAGTCACCACCAGGGCACATTTACTAAATAAGAAGTGTAAAAAGAAGACAGGAGAGTTCACAGGTTGAGGTTTGGTTTATTCCTTTATTAGATGTTAAGAAAATCCACAATGAAACAAAATAATTTACTCAGGGTGTACATGAAATTAGAACAACACAGCTACTCGGGGGGGGCAGATGGGCTTTAGGAACACAGAGGGGTGAGGGTGAAGGGCCATCATCTAGGTGGGAATGAAAGACGAGGAAAACGCAATGTTTTCAGTGCAGGATACGTTCCTCGAACCACAGTGCAATTGAAACTCCGCCACCAAACCAGTGTCGTTCCAAATGCTTATACCCTCACTGAAGACACGTTCTCGTCATACGCTTTTTTTTTCTTCTTCTTCTTTTTTCTTTAAATACGGCCTATCAAAATGGAAGAATTAAATGAGGAAAGGTGTGATGCGTTCCTTTCAACTCCCAATAAGTGCCTTTTGTGACTCATACATTCACACATTCACACACACACGCACGCACACACACACACACACACACACACATGCATCACATTCTTTCACTTATTGATAGAACCTCACTCGTAATATTTTTTTCTTCAACCAAAACTATTTTGTTCAAACCAACATAAAAAGATGGAGTGTGATGTTTGCATGCTCCTTTTTTAGAGACATTCCTTGTTTTTTTTTTTTTTTTTTCTCAGATGTCCCTCACTCATAAGTAATCAACATGCAAAATGAACTGAATGACTTCTCTTCATATACTGTTGAATGTTTACATGCGCCAAGGAATTGCATAGGACTCAGGGTTTTTGGGTTCCCCTCCGCATTGCTTATGCAATCTCAATGGCTTAGTTCTTTTTTGTTTTCTCCTAAACCTAAAGCTGGAAATGAATGACAGTCCTCTCTGTGGTTTGCCTGGAAAGAACTGTCAGTCATTTCTGCTCTACAATCAAAGAAATGGTTTACATTAATGCACTGTCACAGGTCCGAGTGTAGATTATGCAGTTATGCTTATAAAAAATTCCTGAGTGTCTGATGACTGTCAAAGAAATGGGACAAGACCCTGAAGTTGAGTACCTTTCATTCAGCTACTGGGGGTTAAGGTGGCATCGGATTGAGGAAAAAAA